GGATATGATCATAATGTTCCTTCTGATGCAGGCAGACCGCCCCCATTCACCTCATCCAGCTGCTTTTTCGTCTCCTCCTCCATCCGCCGGATGTCGTCCATCGTCAGCCTGATCCAGTCGTCCATGGTGCAGAACAGCTGCCTGTGGAAGTGGGTAAACAGACGCTTCTCCACCTGCACACAGTGGGAGAAATGGGGGGAAACCAGTGTGAACAGGAAGACAGCGACGGGTTCATCATTAAGAAATCAGACTGAGGCGGCCATCTATTTTCCACCTTTTGAATGAAGGCCTCCATCTTTTTCTGGAGGCCCCTCCATTTGAATTCAACGGTGACTAGCTTGTAGCAACACATTTTGGGACAATTGCTGTCAGCAGCAAGTTCCTTCTGCAGATCCAGAGGAGAGGAACACATGAAGGAAGAGGAACTAAAAACTTTTCAATCATCCAATAATGTAGATTATATACCTGCCAGTCGGGCCCCAGGGGGCCTCTCCCCGTTTTCTCTGATTTGAACAAGGAGGGATCATGCTCTTTCTTGTAGTCCTGCTCAACCAGAGGAAAACATCACATGTTGCTTTTTATAACAGGAAAAATGTAAATTGGTAACCGAGGAGAAACGCTGCTGGGTTCCATTACTGAACGGCTGCAGCTAACCATTATTTTGCAAGTCAATTGTTCACTATAGTCATGAATTCCAAAGTGCTACAGAGTTACAACCATAAACATTTACATTTAATAAAACCTGCTTTCTTACCTTTGTAGAGATCTCATTATTATCAGCAATGTTAATATTAATAACCTCCACTGAGTCCCAGTTCTCCACCTTATGAACCTGCAGAGAAGAAAAATGCATTTTCAGCAGCTTGAAACCATGAAGACATTAAATAAGGAACAGTGATGCATTATGGGAAGTGAGGATAACCTGGAGAACGTCTAGGATGAGAGTTTCTGAGCTGGTAGAGGAGGAAAAGTCTGGGAGGTTTTGAACAACCTGGAAGGTTTTGATTTCTGATCGCATCATCTTGAAAATATTTATAGAATCAAAGGAATGACGCTTTAGGATGAGCTCAGAGCTTCATCCAAACATAACTACCTGCAGGTTGCTGATAAAATGGAAGCTAAATTCAATCTGAACGAAAGGAGGGCTCAGAACCACAGTCTGCCTCTGCAAAAAGGCACGACTGAGCGTAAAAAGGTCGATAAAAGCTTTAATACAAGAAGGAAAACCAGAATAAATGATCAAAAATTACCAAAAAAACTAACATAGTTCATAATCCCTTCTTTTCATTGGCCGCTCACACTGAGCCTGGTTCTGCTGGAGGTTTCTTCCTGTTCAAAGGGAGTTTTTCCTCTC